TCCTAGATTAAGTATCTAAATGCCAATGAAGTGTCACCCTTAAAGACAAAAAAATGCCTTGTTACCAGTAAAAACGGTCACTGGTTCTCACCACTCACCATATAAAAACTACAGTTTTATGGTGCTATGTATAAATATATTTAATAAAGTAATTAATTTATTAGCTTACAAATTGCAGAGGTATAATTAACGGTTTTATTAAACACACGAGCACAATTCTTAATCTGCAAATAATCCTTAAGAATTTGATTAAGAAAACGTGTATACCATGTACAAAAATTAAATTACATGTAATTGAAATAAAATCACAATTATTATACCTTACAATTATATCTTATTTTTTTATTTTTTCAGGAATGATATGTTAAGTTTGTGTAATAACCTTGTGTCTGCATGTTCACAGTCTGTTTTTTACACATCTACAATATCTGTCCATGTAGAAATATTTTCATATTTGTATAAATTGTTTCGCATTTTATAATTAAATGTGGTGAATCAAATATGACAAGCATATTATAGCCACTTATATGTATCAGGTCATCTAGAAATATAAAACGTATTAATAATAAAACAATTCTATTAAAAGTAAACATGGCAGTGAAGTTTTGATTAATTGTACCTGGGCTTTTATTTTCTCTTATTTGAACAACTTTAGTTTCCTCTTGTAGTAGTTTAAGAGCAGATGCAGAATGTAGACCCTTGATCTGGGACTAAATTGTTCATCACTGCTGTCAGCATTTAGTTTATTATTTCAGCTTTCAGATATTATTAATACATTTTCAATAATATTGTCTGTATTCACATCTCGTTCAAAATATTGTAAAATTATTTCCATTGTTTCCTCCACGACCTTTCTCCAGTTGACCTTTCTTCTGTAGTGACTTCTGCACAGGCATTTTGTAGCAGAGTCATCATTTTAGTATTACCGAAGGGTGGTTCAGTATTGTACCGCGTTGCATGACCTTTTATTTATGCTCAAATAAGCTCGATAGCGCTATACAGGTAATGGTAGGGAGGCAATCGAATAACTTCGTGTCCATGCTCTAGCGCTAGTTCATCGATAACATAGCGGGGCTTGGACGGATTACTTGCAATTACCTGATTTAACAACTCAACTTTGAATAAATATGGACTTACATCCATACCATTTCTTACCAACCACGAGACAATTTCTTGCTTTTTATTTGCTTGAGTTGGTGGTTTATCAACTTGTACAGAATGATACGGTGCATTGTGCGTAATAATTTTTGATGGATTTTCTAAGCTGACTAGCAGCTTCTCAATCCACATCGTTTGGCGTCATCGATAAGCACTAGTGTTGCCAGGAACTTCCCAACGATTTTTGGCCTAAAATTGTACCTAACTTCAATGATTTTCCTATTTAATTATTTTTGTATTTTTTTTTTTTTGTAAATTAAAAGAATAATATGTTTTATTATCATCATAATGTGGTTATTCGTTTATTGTGAAATATTCCTTCACAAGTACATACATAATCACTGCATTGGAATCTATTTATCAACTTTCGATTTTTTTTTTAGGTAACATCCCTAGTGTTAAAAATAGTTCACTGTCGCAACATTGTAACGACGTTCAGTTCTCTTTGGAACAGAAATTGTTTATTATATTATTATATTTGAATGATTTATTCATCATCATCATCATCATCCACACTACAGCCCTTCACAAGTCCACTGCTGAACATAGGCCTCCCCCAAAGAATGCCACAAAGCACGGTTCTGAGCCACCTGCATCCATCGACTTCTTGCATGTCTTACCAGGTCGTCACTCCATCTAGTGGGGGGACGCCCTACACTTCGCCTACCGGTACGAGGCCGCCACTCGAGAACCTTTCTTCCCCATCGGTTGTCGGTTCTTCGATCTATATGGCCGGCCCACTGCCACTTCAGCTTACTAATCCGTTGGGTTGATGGTTTATTAGTGAAATTAAATTGTAAAATAACTTTCTTTAGTCATTATTACAATAAATATGTAATCGTAATTTAAAAAGTTAAGCAATTGTGCAGTTCTAACTTCGAAAAATTAATCAAATTTTATGCCCACCATTTCAAGATTACGTTGTTGAATTTTTAATGAAGTGTCAAATTTGATCTATTAAATTGGCCCTATTTTAATGTAAGTGGAATAAGTCCCGTCTCATCAATAGCCGCAAAGATTTCTTTTAAGTATTTTTCACTGCAATATTAGATGTTGATCCTTCAGTAAAGTAAAAGACAATCGGTTGATACAAGTAAATGCATAGAAAGGGCGGAAATAAATCAACGCATCCAAACGGAAATTTATCAGTAAATCAGTAATATCACAGTGACACAATGAGTAGGGACAAAACAAACAATATGACTGTGACGACGGGGGATGTTAGCTGTCATGTATCATTTAGCTATGACGTTTCCTATGTCCAATATTTTCTCTATGAAGATTACTGTCGTGCATCAAGATGAACCGTGAATAAGATGCTTTATATTCCATAAATCAAAGAGTATAGTAAATTATTTTAAGTTTTTTGTGGCTTGGATGCTTGTCTTTTTAGGTGTCTTCATCACAGACTAATATGATACTTACACATGTCTTCATTTATTTCCTTTATGGTTTTAATAATAAGGCAAGGTTTTCACTATTGAATATAATATATATTACATCCCAAAATATAAATTATATCTCGCGATTGGCTTTCACACTGTGAGATATATCTTTTAAGCAGTGTGCGTTCGTCATTGGATTACCCCCTGTACCCCGTACACCATTCTGCGGCGGTGAAGAACGGTGTGCGGGGTACAGGGGGCAAAATATAATATGAAAATATCGCTCGGTCGATCGAAAAAATATTTATAATTTGAGATGTAATATATGTTATATAATATACCCATAATGAAAAGCGGGCTAAATTATTTATGGTACACTGCTTCAAAATATGTTGATGCGTCACTTTGCGTAGTTTTTTGGAGACTTTGATAACAACTTGAACCAGCACACAGTTGGCGATAGATCAACCTTATCTTGTGATTAAAATACCGTTTCCACTAATAGTTTACATTTAATTCCCAAATCGCACCACTTTTACATATCAAAATCCACTTCAAACCATTATTTAAACAATAATACAGAAACAGCAATCCGCCGCTGGTCAAGTTCCCCCCAAAACTTCAGTCTCTCAATCAAAATCATTTACTATCTCTGTAAAACATATATTTTTATTAAATTTAAATGAATAGAACAGAGTGATTGTTTACATCATAATATAATCTATTACAACCATAGACTTAGAACATACTGGTGTAAACATACATGGTACATCTGTTTCATAAGGAATCGTGATGTCTTGTGAAGTAATTCTTTATTCTCCAGCGATTACCGATGAATCACCGGATTTTGCCCAACAACCGGTGAATTTAATCGGTTATCGAAATCCCGCCCTCCTGAAGACCTATTCTCCCGAGTAATATATAAGGAAACCATAGATTATTATATACTAGCTGTGCCTCGCGGTTTCACCCGCATATATCACGCCTCCGAGCCTAATGACAACTAATTACACATTTTAGATAGAAAATGGAAAAAATGGTAAAATCAATGCAGTACTTTTACCTTTCAGCATATGTACGTCATAGAGCGAAGTTAAATTTTATCCACTCTCCCTCCCCCTCCCGGTTGAGCGTCGACATCCCGTGCCCCAAAAGCGTTTCGAAGCGCAGTTTTTTCTAATTTTAAAAAAAACCGTACACGACACATGAAATTTGTGGTGGTACTAAATGATTTTATTTATTAAAGATTTACAATAAAATGTACAAAGGTATTTATAAAGTAAAGTATTGTCAACAAGAGTATAGTATATGTACATTCAACACCGTATACCACATATTAGTATAAACATTAAGTAACGAGTTGAAGAAAAAAAGTTACTATCACAAAAAAAACATAACCATGTAACAGTATAAAAGAATCTTGCTTGGTTGCTTGAATTAAATATTAAACGCTTTTACAACAAACAGAAAATGTACAAAATTTGTCAATAAACAAGTTTAAATGTTTTATTAAAGAAAATTTGTACAAAAAGGGTTATTATAATATCAAAAAATACATAAGTGAAAAAAAAAACCCTGGATATGAGGTGTGATCGCTACCATGCTGGTTCTATTAAAACTAATTTAAAATTTGTAAAGGCAAAAAAACAAAATGATTGTAAAAGGAAATATGTAAAAAAAAAGTCCCGCTGGGTTACTTGTGTTAAAGCGCCTGCGCCTTCTTTCTGAGCAAAGAGTTAAACAACGTACTTGTAGTAATTACGTCAGTACTTAACGTTAATTTTAAACAGGTTTTTTGTCTTTGCAATATTTTATTACCCTCTCAGCTGTTATAAGATCAATACAATCATCCAAGACCACATTCAAGTTCCATTATTTTAAAATTCCCTTAAACTCCCGAACATGGTCCTGCGTATTTTGAAGTGAATACCTGGTTTCAAAACCTGGTTGCGTAAATACGTCTCGTCTTTAGTGCGGAGTGAGACAGGCCTGCTTAAGTGATATCTTTCATTTAAAAAAGTATCTATGCAAATTAATATGTCGCAATTGATTAAAGCAATTTATTTTTTCAGTAATTTTGATACGTTTAAAACTTTTTAAAACATAAAAATTATGATTTTTTTAATAAAAAAAAAACAAGCAAAAATCAAAAACACTTAGTTCATAAAAGTTAGTTTTGTCTATGAATTGCTATAATGAAAATTGAAAATGGCCGCTTGACCGTCGAAAGCGGCTTGCTGTCAAAATATAAAAATAATTTCAAATAGCGCGTATGCCCTATTTATATGAAATTAAACAGTTTCCACAAAAGTATTTGATATTAAGGCTGGATGTATTCAACCATTACCAACTCAGATGTTGTAATTATTTACCTGCAAAGGTCATTTACACCTTTGCAAATCGCTCTGTGTAGTGCGTACTGAAGCAGCACTTGTGAATCAGTGTTTACGTCTCAGGATGAGTGAAGAGGGCAGCGAAGGCTCGCCCGTGCGTTCTAAACGCAAACTTAAGAGAGTAGTGCTCCTATCAGCGACATCGGAGTCTGATAGCGATGATAGCGTCGGCGTGGCGAGGACACGTAGAAAGAGACTGAGGGTGAATATTGACTCAATATAGTGCAAACTTAACAAGGAGTATCTGTGGTTGTATGTATTTAATCGTCCTTCGTTTTTAGGTGATCAGTGATGATGAAGCAAGCAACAGTAGCGGTAGCTCGGTGATCTGCGGTGGGGCGCGCCGCAGGCGCACCTTGCCCAAGTTACGTGATTCTGAAGAAGACAGCGACACCTCGGGCTGGGCTACAGACCACTCTGATGAACCTAAACCCACATCCACGGCCGCGGCTATGAAACCTGCATCTGGTTTTGCATCAGACAGTTCTGAAGGCAATTCTGACAAATGTTCAATTTGTCTTCTACGTTTCACAGATCAAGAAGTGGGCACTCCGCAAAGCTGTGAGCACATCTTTTGTCTAGACTGTATATTGGAATGGTCAAAAAATGTGAATACATGCCCTGTTGATAGAATGACTTTTGATTTTATTGTTGTGAGAGCATGTGCCGGTGGTCGTGTCTTACGCACTGAACCTGTTAAAGTGGTTGAGCGCAGACCGTCTGTAGATATATTTGTATTAGAAGATTCAACAGTCTGTGAGGTTAGTAAACATAAATCCTTATTAACTTTTAACTAATAAGTTCCTACTTAATTACCTAAAAATTTTGGTTAACTTTTTTACTGCAATATATAATAATACTTAAGTTTTAATCATTGATGTTAATATTTTTATTGGTATTTAAAAAATCTTTAATGGATATTGTTGTTTGTGTGGATATACAGGGTGGGCCTTAATTTTTATTTTGTCTATAACTCAAAAACCGTTAGAGGTAAAGGGGTGCGGGGGGTGTCGTCAGATGCTCCATTTCATGGAATTTTTAGTCACCATGGACGTGGTCTCGGGAGCACAGCGTGTGTTTTGTGTTCATGTGTATTATGTTAACAACAATTCCGTGCCTGTTGCTAGGCGAATGTATCACATTCACTTCGGCTTAAATGACATCAGAATCACCAAGCGCAAATTCTATTTGGAAATGGGTGAAGATGTTCAAAGAAACTGGGTCTACAGTAAAAATAAATAATGTGGGCTGCCCGAAGTCAATATATATATATATATAGGTTAGAATGCTAGGACGTGGTATCAACAGAATGGAGCCACTTGCCACACTTCTACAGTTTCAATGGACGTGCTGAAAGAAATGTTTTCAGGAAAACTCATATTGCGAAGAGGAGACATTGAATGGCTTCCAAGGAGTCCAGATCTTTCTCCTAAGGGTTATGTTTTGTTGAGATACCTAAAAGCAAGAGTGTACAAAAACAATCCAACAATAGTTGAAGAGTTAAAGAAAAATATTGTGCAAGACAGATATAGGCATATCAGCTATAAGCTGCTTGCCTGTTACCAGATAATAATAATAATAATAATAAGAAATTAACACTATTCCACAAGCAACTTGTCAACGTGTTTTTCAAAATCTGCGAGTGCAACTACAAGAATGTCAAAAAGCTGATGGCAGTCACTTAAATAACATTATCTTTAAAAATTAGATGTCACTTAAATTTCAATTTCTTGTACTTTTTAAATGTATATTGTATAAATAATAAAGCAATAAGATTTATAGTTATTTTTTTTTGTATATTGAAATCACTCATACAGTTAAGGCCCAACCTGTATGTTAATTAGGTTTATTTTTTATCATTATACAGTTTAAGAGTAATTTGTAAAAACATTGAAAATCAGTTTTTGTTATTTTACTGTCCATTTTCAATACCAAAGTAAGTTTATTAGCTAATATATAAAATTTATTAATAATGTACTGAATAATATGAATTAATCATAATTATTTATAACTTAAGGTATGTGGAAGTACAGATAACGAGGAGACAATGCTACTATGTGATGGATGTGACCTTGGATACCACATGCAGTGCTTGACACCACCCCTCACTGAGGTAATTATTTCTAATACAAAGAAATTGCAGTCTGATTATGTTGTACCCTTTAATCTTATGTAAAAAAAGTATTATTAAATTGTATCTGTTAGATATTAATATGATCTTCTGTAATAATAATCCCTCAGATTGTGTGCAATGAATATTTATATTTTTAATGGATGTTCAATAACAATAATTACACAAATTTTAGTATGTGTAATTTTCAAATTTTTAATTATTCCAGGTACCATTAAATCAATGGCTTTGTCCAAATTGTGATGACTTATTAGATGTTATTCATACATCTGAAGTTGACGACTTATACTCTGGAATAGAGGACTTGGAAATGCCTGAAGGCCCTCGACCAGCAGCACTTAGGCAACCTAGGAATGTTAGGAGGTCGTCACGAAATCGAAACAATACTGATGAACCCACCACATCAAGAGGAAATCGGACCAATTCTAATTTAAATGAAATACCGACTACATCCCGAGGCTTGAGGTCAACACACAGAAGTATTACTACTCGTCCTTCTAGAAGGTCTACAGGGACACATCGCAGAAGATACAAATCAAGAAGAACCAGAACTGTTATTATGGAATATGAAATTGAAGAAAATGGTAAATTTCCTGTAACAAAAAGAATTAAAAGGAAAGTAAAGAAAAGAAGGGTTAGTATTGATGTATAATCAAATGAGTTCATCAAAGTTCATGTTCTTTCTCAATAGGGTGAAAAACGAGCACACAGTCCACCTGATGGTAAGTGGTTGCTGCGGCCCATAGACATCTACATCTATCCTCTATTACAAATCAAAATGCAGATGCGTTGTCACCCGTGAGTACTAAGATGGAATGCCTCATTTCCATCAAAAAGGCTCTCTGGTTCCCTACACGCACCATACAAAACACAGCAGCATTAAGCAGCTATTTTACACTGGTATTCTGTGAGATATACAATACAATAACTTTATTTCAGGCATCAAGGACTTAAAAATTAAGAACATTGGCCCATAGCAATATATACCTTAACCTAAAAATATATATAAAATAGACATAACACTATTTAGGGAACTTTTTTTTTTGGCGCGTCCCCGTATCGGCAAAACACTACCCCAGAGGACCAGAAATCGGGAGCGTGGAATGTGTCTTTGTGTTTTGCAGGAACCTGGAGTACGTAGGATTTGAAGTTCGTTGACCTATTAGACTCCAGACGCTGCAAATGTAAAGAGATCGGATCCTCAATGCAGCATCGGCTTCGTTCTTCCACGAAACGCAGGACGTCTTCTCCTGAGATATGATACATAAATAGAAATATGCATTTAATACTGTGAAAAATGAGGCATATGTGAATCCACTACCCCATATCATTTCCATGGGTGTTGTAAGAGGCGACAAAGAGAAACTGAAACAGGAAATAGAAAGCAGCATCTTTCTGAAAACAACTAAAAATAACAAACAAGTGGTTGCCATCCTGCCTGTTAATTAAGAATGACAACTATGGCACAGGAAGATACCCTATGAGACAACTTGTGGGTAGGCTGATTTTCAGCTGTGGTTTTCTTAAGAAAACAGTACTTTGACATAGGCACATAATTAACTCAGATCTATAGATATAGGCAGGGAGGGTCCAGATGGAACAGCTGCCCTCACTTCACTCCACACAACCCTTCACTTTGTATACCCATTAGCAAAGAGATAGACAATGGAACCTAGTAACTCAAATTTTGTTGTGTCAATGTTTCATAAATAAGAAAAAAGCTATTCCTAGACAAATAAAATAAATTTACCTAAGTACTTCATTACAGTTGTGCTTTGTAAGTCAAAATTGTAGTAAAAAATTTTTTGTTTCTTGAAATACTCGCTTAGCTATAAACCCTTTACCTTGAAATTTGAGATATCCAGGTTCTTGTATAGTTCATTAATATACTGTTTACTTTTATTCAGTATACAAAAACAGGTTATTGTTTTTTATTGTGTTAATAACACTGTAGTTTGACGGCTCCGTGGTGCAGTGGCTTAGCAATGAGTTGCAATGCTAAGGGTTTGAATTCCACATGGAACAAGTATTTGTATGGCCTACAAATAATTGTTCTTGATCTGTATGTTTGTCCTTATGAAATCTATGTATGTAAACTGCCCCAGTGATACAGGAGAGAATGTAGTTTTTTAAAAAAAAAAAGAAATAGTATGTATTACTTGTTCATGTTTAGTTTTACAACATATGTTTAGAACCGTTAATTAATCGTTTTTATATCATTTTCAGACAAAAAAACGACAGCCACGAACTGCCGCGCGACGTTCACATGTTCGTGCTAGTGTTCGAGCAAAATTGGCTAATATGAAAATTGATCAACAAACTCTTCCCTCAAATTCTGGAAGGCAGGATTTGTCAGTTCGCCGACAAAGGGCTGGCATTGCTTCCCTAAATCTATTTAGCAATGCAAATGAGCTGGAATATTTTTCCGATGATGATGACCAAGATGTAAACATTTCTAATGGCCCTATGACTGCTGTAGCCATCAGACCAACATCTAACATTCTTAGTGCATACAGACAGGTAAATAGTGTTTCATCAAAAGAATATTAGAAGATAAAAATTGCGATATCTAATTATAAACTCTATTTTCAGGCAAGAAGAAAGATGATTTCAATCCCATCACCACCTCATGCAACATCTGCACCAGATATTCTCTCTAATATTCTGGAGAGTCAAACATTGTTACATTCTAAGAATTCTATAGTCTCAATCTCTGTTGATGGTAATGTGGATATTAAACTACAAACAAAGAGACAAAGTATATTACCAACTAATAAAGATACAGCTCCAACAAAAGCAAACGAGAAACTTGATTTGTCAAAAGGTGAAGATGCGGCTAAGAAAGCTCCATCATATCCAGGTCAGTCCCGTGGCGGCGGATGGGGTGGGGGTTACCGGGGAAACTACCACCGAGAACAGAATTCTAGTAACTTCAATAGAGGAAACAACTACGACAACAATTATGGAGGTGGCTATCAAAACCGGCAAGGAAATATGAATTACCAAAATAACAATATGCGACGTGACGAAGATTCTTATGGTAATTATGCAAGAAGGCCTCCTCAATACTCACTCAATGATGATGCTTACTTTGAGAGATCCAGAAGACAAGTCCCAAATGATAATAACAGAGGGCCCAACTATGGTCAACCTCAACAACAGAGGTTAAATGATCAAGGACAGGGTAGGTATAGCTTAGGCACAGCATGGCAGCCTTTTCCTATTGGAACACCTGGACCAAGGCCGGAAAACCAATTGTTACAAAATAGACACTCTTTTGGTGGATTTGAAAATCCTCTGGACATGCGAATGGGGCAAGCACCACCTTCAGTTAGTTCTATCAACACCAATAACGATATGTTCACTCGTTCTGATACTTCTGTTGTAGATAAATCTCAAACAACAAACTACCATCCATTACCAGAACCGCCAATTTTTAGCTTTTCCAAGATGCCTGATGTTGAAAAGTCAGAGGACGAAAAGAGCGATTCAGGGTTAGTGATAGACACAGAAAAATACGATCCGACTGAGCCGACAAATGATGATGATGATAGCTGCGACGAAGACAAAACTGTTGCTTTGCCCACAGCTCCTGAGCCATCTCCTCCGCCGACGCCTGCTGCAGTTCAAAACATATTAGCAGGAATCGACACCAGTACAATGAATGTGCCACCTAATATTTTAGACAGTGCAGTAAGACAAGTGTTAAAGGAACATAAGAATCTAATAGTTTCTCCTACCGTACAACATGATTTGTCTAATAATAATAAAAGTGACGAGGATTCTGATGGTGACTGTCCAAATTTTTCTATTTATTCAGCTACCAGTGTTCATATAGCTAATAACAGTAGTAGTTTAACCGACGATTTTGCGAAAGAAGTGCCACAAGATAATCTTGAAGATCTTGTACAAGAAGATGACGATGTATCTCCATCTGAAAGTACACCACCGAATGAAATAGCAAATTCAGGATCTGATAACAATAAATCAGCAGTGGAATTAACAATAACCAATAACAAACCAAACTATTCTATATTTGACATTAGCACAAAAAATAAAACTGAGGAAGAATATAAAGAAAAAGTTTCTAAAAGATGTCCCATAACTACAAACACACGAAATCCAATTAAAATAAAACTTAATACACCTTCACTGATTAAAAGACAATTAACTTTATATGATGAAGAAGACACAAGTGAAGAAGTTGAAATAACGGAAAAAGTGGAAACACAAGATAAATCTGAATTATTGTCAGACGAAAAACCTGCTAGTAATTTAAACACCGCAACAGAAATAGATGAAGCAAAAAACGAACCTAATGAGAAAGAGAATGATAATAAAGAAAAAATAGCCTCAGAAAAGAACCTCGCATCGGAAATATCATCTGTTGTCTCCTCCATAGCAGATTTACCAGACACAGAAAAGGAGGAAGATGACGTTACCTCAAATAAACCAGATAGTAATGAAATTGAAAAGAAAGAAAATGGATTTTCCACAGTTGATATAGAAACAGAAATGAATGATGAAACTAAAGATTCATTAACAATAGAAAAACAACCTGAAGGAATAAGTGATGAAAAGGAAAATGAGGATGCCAATTCAGATAATGATAAATCTGAAAGAGAGTTGCAGTTAGAGGAAGACGATATTTCTGATGAAGAACTCTGTCTTAACACACAGTCTCCGGAAAAAGACTCCGAAATTAAAAATATCGAAGGTGTGGAAAAAATGACAGAATCTATAAGCGAAACTGAAGATGAACGTAGCTATACGCCTTGCCTTGACGAAAATAAATCAAAGGACACATCACTTGAAAACGAGAAAGATAAAGGTTTAGAAGGTCTCGATACTGAAATGATATCTGAGGATGAAGGAAATGAAATGTTCTCTGAAAATGAAAAAGCTCCCTCTGAAGTGTCGCACACCTCACCAGTCAGAGCTCAACCGACTGCCGGAAACGAAGAAGGGGAAATAATGGAAAAAAAGAAAGGAACCAAAGAAGATCGCGACGAGGGTAAGAAGAAAAAGAAAAAAGAATCTAAAAAAGAAGGAAGAGACAAAAATAAAAGTAAAAATAGAAAAGGTGAAATTGCTTTTAAGAAACTTAGTAAGAATGGTAAAGAAAGGAATTACAGAGAAAGAGACAAAGAAGAAAAAAGTAAGAACAGAAAGGAACGTCGCGAATCGAGTGAAACTGCGGAAGAAAAACAAAAGCGGCGAAAGGAAAAAAGAAAAGATTTAGAGCGATATGACGTTCGCACTGTAGTATCGGAAAAAAGGAAAAAAATGAAAGACCCTTTTGGGAGAGATATTTCGCCTCGAATGCGGTCGACTTCACTTTCGCCGGTCGGTGATCAAACTCCCACACGAATACGGAGATCGTTCTCTCGTGGCCGAAGGTCAACGTCGAGAGGCCGAAAATCTTTATCTAGAATACGAAGATCTTTGTCCAGAGGACGGAAATCATTATCGCGTTCGCGTCGATCGATCTCACGGGGTCGAAAATCTCTCTCAAGAAGTCGCAGATCGCTTTCGAGGATTCGCAAATCGTTATCTCCAGGCCGCAGGTCTCACTCCTTAGGAAAGAAAACTCCGCCTAGAGTCCGAAGGTCCAGAAGTAGGCTTTCGGCGACTAGAATTCGGGCTTCGCCTTTGAGGGGAAGAAAGTCACCATCGAGAGGACGTGTGTCACCGCACAGAGGCCGAAAGTCTGCGTCGAGAGGTCGACGATCGGCGTCGTCGGTGGGAATCAGGCGCATACGGCCGTCGCTTTCGCCGCGTTCGGCTACTCCGCGCATAACGCCTCGACGCTCGCCCGAACGTAAAAGGCGGCGCTCCATATCGCCACGGCGTCGGATATCGCCGCGACGACGCCGTTCCGTCTCGCGAGGCAGAAAACGCCGCAGATCCGCCTCCAGGAGCCCTAAACCCAAACCGACCAAAAAGAAGAAGCGCTCGCGATCCGAGAGACCTCCTTCGCGCCGGCGTTCTCCGCGCCCGAAGTCGCCGAAGAGAAAGAAGAACAAGCGTCGCACCGCTAGTCGCTCCCCCGAACCCGAGCCGCTTCGGATCGCCGCCGATTGGTCGCCGCCCTCCGTCGATTCGCGTCTGCTATCGCCGCGTACCCCGCCTGCTGATTTATCTCCCGATCCCCGCAATCTGAGGGTGGTGGTTGCGGCCGACGACAAACGTAAGCGCAAGGAGAAGAGACGCCGCGACCCGGAGAGACAGCGACACAAACGCGGCCGCGACGTCGCTGGTCCGTCGAAGGAGGTTTTCACGTCCGGCGACAACATCCTCGTCAGCGTAAGCTTCAAGGATCAGGAGCGGGAGGAGCAGAGCGAGAAGCGCAAGCGACGGGAGACGAAGCGCGAGAAGAGGAAACGAAAGCGCGCCGCAGTCCCGCCCGAGACGGAGACTGTGAAGCCGGTCGCGATCATCGACTTGGAGCGCTCGCCGTTCCGCGAGCTGACGCCGTCGCCGAAAAACGTGATAGTGCTGAGTGATAGTGACCACGGCGAGAAGGAGACGGGCGCGGTGGCGAGTGAGACCGTAGAGGCGGGCGTTGTAGAGGCTCCGCCCGCGGGACCGAAGACTCCGCCCGAGCCCGCGCAGCCGCCCGTCCCCGCCGCCGCGCACTCCCCGCCACGCGCCCCCCGCACCCCTCGCTCGCCGCATTCCCCCCACTCGCCACGCTCGCCTCGTTCGCCGGACGCATACGACCCGTTCGAGCCGACGCGCTCGCCGTCTGCCTCGCCAGGCGCGGCGGAGCCTCCGGTGGAGGCGGGGCCGGGCGCGGGGGCAGGGGCGGGCGCGGTGGTGGGGGCAGGTGCGGGGGAGGGGCTGGCGGCGGAGGGCGAGCCGCGCGCCATGACGCTGGAGGCGGCGCAGCGCACCAACCTGTCGGCGGACGATGTTCTGGCGCGCCGCCCGCTGTCGCCCATGCAGAAGGTTTGTTGTTTTTATACAATAAGGGATGATATGGGCTAGTGGATATTCTTACACCGCCACTACACGGTCTCGTGGGTGTCGTAAGAGACTACAGAGGGAAACAAATCGGCAGATGACAACAGGGGTTTCCTTAATAACAGCTAAAAATAAAAAACTGCGATTGCCAGCCCGCTTGCCAAGCGTGGCAACAATGGCAAATATCTCCCCTATGAGTCAATCTATGGGGGAGAAATATGTTTAGCAGTGGACTTTAATAAGCTGTTACGGTAACGGTTCTGTGGGAGCATAATCGTATCACGGTCAGATAGATCCATTCGTGCTACATCCATATTATGCTGCAGTATGGCTCTACCTGAATATCTGTCTAGGGGATATACACCGGGTTTCTATGCATGATACTCTTGATAGAATCAGAGTAACCGACATAGCTCATCGGAATAGTAAACGAAGTGTGCTGGCAATGGGCCGGCCATATAGCTTGAAGAACCGACAACCGATAAGGAAAAAGATTCTCGAGTGGCAGTGTCGTACTAGACGAAATGTAGGGCATCCCTCCACTAGATCGAGTAACGACTTTGTAAGATATGTAGGAAGTCGATGCATGCAGGTTGGCTCAGGATCGCTTCCTGGCATTCCTTGAGGGAGACTTATATTCAGCAGTGGACTTTGAAAGAGCTGTAATGATGACGATGACTGTACCACGTAAATGAAACCATGTGCAGGTGTTGGCACTGCTGCAGTCGACGCGCGACGAGGCGCCGGAGCCGCCGCCGCGTAGCGACGCACTGCCGCCGTTCCCGCCGAAGTTGTTCGTGGGCAAGGCGGAGCCCATCAAGTCCAACCCGGTGAAGCCGATGGCGCGCCGCGAGGACGAGGCCCCTGACTCCCCCTACTCGCCGGGCTCCAGCGATTTCGGCGATCTCTTCGAGCCTCCGCCCGCCAAGCGAGACATCTTTGACGCGCTCTTCGACAAGCCGCCCAAGCGCAAGGGCAAGTCCTCGGCCGCGAAAGTGCCGGTCAAACTCAACAAGAAAAAAGGTATTTTTTTTTTTCTGTTTGCGATATGGTAGGTCTACTTCCCTAACTCGATGCATTGATGCATACAATACTGTGTTTCAGTTTGAAGTGTATGGGGAGCCAGTATAGTTAGTTACAGACTTATACATTGCATAAAGTGTTTGGGGGTGACAGCGCATCTAAAGCCTTATCTGCATGAAATTGGTGGCAATTGACTTTCATTATCCTAGAGATTTTACTTATTTGTAACTTTAGTTTATACCCGGTGTTTGTGAAACGCTCCCGAAAACAAAGACAGGCGATAGTACTAACGATACCTTTGATCATGGGCAGGAATAAAATTGATCCCGAGGAAAAAATCATCTTTTCACAACGTTTTATTAGTTTTATTCACGCTCCATCATGTTAGTACAGCTAAATGAAACGATAATTCTATTACAAAACATAAAAATACTTAAACATGAAACCAGCAGTGGAACTTAAATGAAATCAGCTGACAATAGGGTTATTGACCCTATTGTTAGCTGATTTCATTATTTTGCAGAATTGACGCCGAATCCACGCGATCGTACGATCGCTAGCTGCGGGCAATACTGCAAATACCTAGTTATTAACAACACTTGTTTAAATACCTAACTTATTATGTATAGGTATGTTTATTATTATGTATGTATATAAAAGTTGCAAGTAAAAAAATTACTTGCAACTTTTATTGTGATTGCCGCCTCTAATTCTTATGTCGCTTGCAAACAAATCTTTGTAGGTAAATTTCGGTGCAACATGGCAGCGTTGCCAATACCAATTTGTCAAGTTCTCCGAAAATCCATGTCACATTCCCCAATTTAAGGACAAAACAACTTCAACAGATTCTCCTCAATTTTATTTTAAGAAATTAAGCAATTTTCAACTAATTTTATAAGATTTATTTTTAACTTACTTGTTTTTTCTTTTTACCGAATTTTTTTTTCACAACATATTTTTGTAACCACCATTTTTCTCCATGGAGTATTTTTAATTCCTTAGTATTTTTAATCGGGAGGTAGCCGTGGTTAACTATGACATTAGGACGTCATACACCTAAGTTAAAAAAAGGGAGTAATTCAATATCCATAAGCAACCTAACATAAATGTTAACATAAGTATATCGATTTTCAAAATCCCCGCATAATACCAATCCCCATAAAATTCCCAACCAACTTAAAATTCCCCGCATTTTGAATTTGGAATTCCCGATATGTTGGCAACGCTGACTCGAGGCGACACGAGTCGGTCGGTGCCGGGCAGCGGCAGCGCGTGTGTGAAAGGGAAGGGTAGAGTGAGTAGTAATACCTAATGCATTGTTTCATACCGAGCTAGATAAAACAATTCGGTGTCCGCGCGAATATTGACCCTAGTCAGCTGATTTTATTTGAATTTCCACTGCTGGTTTTATGTTTAAATATTTTCATGATTTTTTTTAGGAAATTATCGTTTCATTTAGCTGTACTAACATCATGTTAGTAGCAGCGTGAATAAAGCTAATAAAATGTTGTGAAAAGATGATTTTTTTTCCTCGGGATTGTTTTTCTTTCTGACATAACATCAAAGGTATTGTTAGTACTATCGTCTGTCTTCATTTTCGGGAGCGTTTCACAAACACCCGGTATTTTTTTTAATAGATTAAGGGTGACAAATGAGCACACAGTCCACCGTAAGTAATGGTAAGTGGATGCTGCGACCCACAGACATCTACATCTATCCTCGATTAAGAATCTATATGCAGAAGCATTTTCACCTGAGCACTGCCACGAGTCGGTTGGACGGCGGCAGCGCCTATGTGAAAGGGAGGAATAGAGTGAATAGTATAATACCTAATGCATTGTTTCGTACCGAGCTAGATAAAAGAGTTTGGCTTACGCGCGGATATTGACCCTAGTCAGCTGATTTATGATTTATTTATTTTAAATTTCACGGCTGGTTTAATGTTTAAGTATTTTCATGATTTTTTTAATGAAATTATCATTTTATTTAGCTGTACCAACATGATGTGGCGTGAATAAAGCTAATAAAACGTTGCGAAAAGATGATTTTTTCCCCACAGGATCGATTTTATTTCTCACCCATCATCAAAAGAAACACCCGGTACACCAACATCAGCATATGATAAAACATAACAGCATTATAATTAAACAGTATCCTGCTCGTAGGACTATCAATAGGCAAACTATTTAAAATAATATGGTAATAAATTTCAATTTATAAAAGCGATAATACATTAAAACTCCACAGGTAATAAAACCCATGTAGGTGTAAAGATAGATGAAGATAATTTGAAAATCTTAGACGATCTGCCGAGCTCCGCCGTCGAAATGCAAGTCAAGAGCAAAGTGAGTAACATAAATTTTACATGTAAATTCGACAAATATTTGAATATTCGTTCTAATCCACATTATATTAACAAAATTAATATGCAATGATAGATATATATTGACCAACCGCTTATTATGACGTAATTACCAGCGAAGTTTGGTTTTCATACAAAATTCTTTATAATAAAGTCTAATACTTTGCTTATAGTGACATGTCGCTTATTGTGACCCATTTTTACTAAATTGTGTCCGGTTATAGTGACCGACTTAAATCCAAACACCTTCGGCAGTGTTCAGGAGAGTCAATTGATACCCGACGACGTTCGGCACGTGCATGGCTTGTTTTTGTTTTGAGTCTCAGTGGGTAATTGATTGATCGTGAAGGTCACCGGATTGTTTGTTAGTGATTTGTGAAAAAAATGAAATCTCAACGTCAGTGCACGTGCAGTTTAGAAAATGGAGAATCAAACTCATCTCTCGCAAGGGAATTTGGGGTTGATCACTCGACAATCTCAATGATTTTTAAAAACAATAATTTATTATTAAGAATTTAAGTTACTTTAATTAAAGATTTTTCTCTGTTAAAATAAATACATACTAACAGAAACTGGAGATTGTTTATTTTCTTCAAAATGCGGATATAAATAAAAAATAAACGGATTCCACTATATATATATATATATATATATAAGACCATAATTCTCTCAAGTATAGGTCCAAATTTTTTTTTAGTCTGTCTAACTTTAGTGTAAATGTGTATGTATATGTTTGTGCGTGCGTGCGTGTGTGTGTGTGTGTGTGGTCTAAAAAACCTTGGTCATTGCTATACATAATGTTATTACAACATCTACATTAATATTTGTCTTAAAGAATTCACACAGTGGTATTATTCAGGATTTTCATAAATTTTCAGTTCTTGAAGAAGCTAAACCGCCAAGAGCGAGTGGTGGAGGAAGTGAAGCTCGTGCTAAAACCTCACTACAACAAAAAACACGTCACGAAGGAAGAGTACAAAGACATACTTCGACGCGCCGTACCTAAGGTATGCTAGTGACCTGCCATGTTCATTCCTTGCCCTGAATTAAATCTCTTAGAAGAAAAAAAAACAGATTATTTCAACTTAATGTGTATTTTTTTAATTATTTTTATAGGGGAATTGAAGAAAAAAGTTATATTCATTCTGTAAATTCTAGGAACAGACACCAGTACCAGTAACTCGACTCCATCGTGTCAGTAATTCATTCTTGGTGCGATGTATACGCTTTTACAACAAAATCCCAGAGAATGTACAAAATTTGACCTCCTCGAAGTTCAAAAACTTACCTACTTCTACTCACTTACGACCTATTTTGCGCGTATGATTTATACCATATCACCGCAATAATACCATGAATTCCGAGCAAAAATGAAATCCTTTTCAGTAAGAATGACCTAATAATTCGAAAGCTTTGCTGCGATCTATGTTTATAACATGCAATGGACTTGTGTATTTAGGCAAAGAGGATGTAATCACTACGTTTAAGAGGCGGGACTTCCTTAGTAAAAGTAAATGTACCTATGAAAGGGTGCCAAGCTACTCCACCAACATAAAGACATGAAATTTAATTTTAGACAAACAGTGCTGACAACATAGCCGAATCATAATAGTGCTGTAAATGTCTATCCTCGAAAATTTTTATCGATATAATGTTTATCAATATATTTTTTATCGATATTTTTATACAATAAAAGTTAGATCTCTATACTCAATCATTTATGAGAAATAAAAGTTTTTACGTGGGGATTGAGTATAAATACCGACGAAGATAAGGAATCAATATATTTTACTCACAGCAACTTGTAATTTTATCTCTACAACTATTAGGTACCAAATTATGTATAAAAAACATATAATAAACAACGCACAGTTATACTAGTAATTAATTAGGTAAAAAATAAATGACTAATTCGTAGCGCAGTGGCTAAGTGTTTTTGACTGGGGTTACTGCAGGACCGAATGTTCGTTCCCACACTGAACAAGTATTTCTATGCTGTAAAATAAATATTGCGTCTGGATGCTTGTTCTTATCGTAAGTTTTTTTAAAGGGTAAAAATATTGTTTTTTTAACACTGATTGGATTAAACTGCTTTTAAGTGTAACAAATACTAATGTACAAATCGCTAGGCTTTTTCACTAAGGTACACATACTACTCGTACAGAGATCGTTCACTTATAGTAGTTTTTAAAATTAGTGCTAATTATAGCTAAAGTTTCTAGATGAATCTATAAAAAAAAACTATAAATATTTATAATCAGGTAAATACTAATAACTTCAAGTTCAGTTATATAATCGAATTCTTACCAAAATTTGAGTTTAAAGGGATATTATCTATTGTTACATGTAAAGGAAATCTAATTAACATACACACACATAATTATCGAGGCTTTAACTTTTGGAATAACAGTTCGTTTTAGTTGGATTTACATCCTCGGATTTGCAATGTTTGCCACAAATATGTTTTAACATGTGAAGCTTATCTGCCAGGTTTTCATTCACAATTAATTTCACCCATTGCTTACATCTGAAAAAATAATATAAATAAAATCACATTTTATTGAACAAATAGAATGTAAGCAGTCACAATAGATAATATAGTTTCTAAGTATATAGCGCGATTCGGATTGCCATCCCATCGAACTATCAGAGTTAGGAAAAGAGTGTGTTTGTATTTGTGCACACAATCGTATACTATAAAAACCTGTCCTACATAGATGGCTAGTCTCAGGTGATACTAACATCCGTGATCGAAGTTCGATTTAGAAGACATCACTACAAAAATAAAGTTCTAAGAATGAATTCGCGTTAAATATCATATTACTTACATCATCTAAGGGAAATGTATAGCATTGTCTTGTTATTTTTTTTTTCGCTTCTTACACTATCTAATTGGTAAGTTTTATAATGCATATTTGATTTTTTAACAATTCTGTAAATGAACAATGGCTCCTATAGCAAAATTAAGAGCAATCTAAATAATTATTAAAATAAATATCGTTTTAATTGACATTTGAACCCATTTGATTTGACAATATCATTGATTGACATGTTACGATAAGTAAAAAGAAGAGTTAACTGCCATTAAAATTTGCTCCCGTTTCGTAGATATAATTTTTATTATGGAAGTTTGCACCAGCCTGCATTTAGGTATTCTATCTAAATGCGCTACCTTATAGAAACCTATTGTTTTAAACATTTACAGTCACATTTATATCACTTAACGGTGATATGCATCCAAAACCTTCCTTCATGTCTTCACCAGGTTGTTATCTACCTTGAGAACCTACCTTCTCAATCGGTATAAAAATAAAAATCTTCCTAATATATGAACTTGCGACTTGTGCCTGTTTCAGATCTGTCACAACAAGTCCGGCGAAATAAATCCGACCAAAATCCAAGCCCTCGTGGAGGCGTACGTGAAAAAGTTCAGAAAAAAACACAAACTCGGACTAGTGTAGTGCAAGCTAGTGTAGGTGTGAACACAGTGTAAGTTAGTGGTGCCGTGCCGCGGCGCCGTGTAATGTACCGGCAGATGTTCTATCAGATTATTGTAATTATAATTTATCTACGGACAATGTATTTTACTTAACGTTTTATTTAAATAAAATAATATAGAGTTAACAGAGCTCGCTGTATTCATTTCATCTCTTTCCTATGATTTTTACTACAATTAACTAATAAAATTGTTTCAGTTTTATGTTTTTAGATAAGTGATAGAACCACACTACAGCTACATTATGATTGTTGCACGAATGCACGAATTGCTCACAGAATACTAGCGTAAATTAGCAGCTTAATGCTGCTGTGTTTAGTATGGTGAGTGCCAAGAACCTTAAACTTACTTTTCCTAATGCAATTAAACTTTAAACTTAAACGTCAATTATTTAAATGTGACGTAGTGAATAATGCTATACCAAAATTAGTGCATCGGTTTAACGGTAATAATCTACATTTAAACGGCAATAAAACTAAAAATGTTAAAAATTTAATATCAATTTACCAATGTGCTTTTAAATGGGGAAGAATTGAGCCCTGTTGTTTTTCTTGGCATCAATCTCAACGCAAAACTTCAGTAAGTCCCCATATATCTAAACTAGCAAGCAGACTAAGCTCTGTAGCTTGTACTGTAGAAAAGATTATAGATCTCAATAGTATCGAGACAGCTAGATTAGTTTATTTCAGTTATTTCCATAGTATAATGTTTTATGTGATGTTGCTATGGGGAAATGCGGCTGATTTAGAAACTATTTTTGTTTTGCAGGAGGGGGCCATAAGAGGTGTTTACAGCCTGAAACCGAGAGAATCTCAGAGAAATTAATAATATGTTAACGTGGTAAATCGACACTTCAAATTGCAATTAAAATATATGCTAAAATATATAATCAGTGGCGAAGCTAGGGCTCCAAACTAGGGCAAGCCCAAGATATGGTTTTGTTGTTTTTAGCAGTTTTATAAAAATACACCAATCATCAATGTCTATTCTTCAGTTTCATATTCAGTGCTGTCGAGGACGTGTTTAACAAAGCACACAGAAGGCATACTACTGCTAGATAGATTGTACGACATATCAGCAGTTGCATACCTTCGGTGGCTTTGAAAAAAGCTGTTTGGGATTGCTTGGGTGAAAGAAAAAGATATTTACATACAATACAATACATGAACAAAAGAAAAGTATGAACAAAGTACAAACAAACTATGTACAAAATTAAAAAAAGCAAATTAATTAAATTCTAAATCGAATCGTCTCTCTTTCTTAAGAAAAGATTTGATTACGTCTGCCTAAAATGTTGATGAGTAGGTGTGAATTGGGGCTTCTGCGTCACTTGTTCTCGCTTCGCTCGAGCTACATGCCGCTGAAGGCCCCAATTCTCTCCATTAGAGGTCTAAATTTTTAGTCTAATTCTCGATCCGCTTTTTTTTAAATCTTTGTTCCATTTCTAATACCGTTTCATTCGGAATCTCAAATACAAATGGTTCAATAATATAACAACAAAATATCTATTTCATCGTTAAAATGCAAGGTGGTACAAAAAACAGTTACTTTAATAAGTACTAATCGTTAACGGTCTGAAACTATTTTTGTTTTCTTCTCGAACTCAAAGGTAGTTTAAATTAAAAGATGAAGTGTTTATTTACATATATTTTATTAGAAATTAAACAATAATTTTGTTTTCAAAACACCATTTCTTAATACATAAAAAAAATTTACGCACATATTTTTTTACGAGTAAAACAGTTATACAGTAAAGTATCTTTACAATAAAGTTCACAAAGAGTATTTAAATTGGGAGCTCCTAAGCAACTTATATCTATGATAGTATTATTTTCATCACAAATATCTTGCACCCACTTAATTTTTTCACATCCTTTTAAAAAATCTTTTTATCTTTCAAATATGTCTTTATAATTCTGTGAAACTCTCTATAATCAATAAAGCCCTCACTCCATCGATACCCTCTGCGCTTTTCAATCCAGCCAATTTGTTTTTTCTCTTCAGGATATAGTGAAGTGAATGGGTAAGGAGGTTTAATTAGGAATATATTGGTGTACTCTAGAGTGGCTATAGCAAACTCCTTTACTATAAATTTATTTTTGCTATTTTTAAAGCCTTGAAGATTGACAATTATTGTATTGCTATTCATGATATTTTCTTAACGATATTACTCAGTGGTTTGTATTAGAATATACAGTCGTTTAATATTAAGCAATAAGCGGTTGTCTGATCTGGTATTTCTTGGTCTGTTTCGATTTCAACTCTCACATCGATCGAACCTTTTAAAGTTTCGTGTTGTCTTGAACAATCAATTACAAATAATGGAGCCACGTCTCTGAACTCCTTTAAACCCATCAACGGCTCTGACCGGCGTCTCATGTTACGACTGTTGAAATCTCGCATACTGATCGTATAATAAAGTAAACTTATCTTCTGAAAAACTGACATTCAGCCCCTCATAAGAATAATATGATGAATTTAAAAAGACTTACATCTCGTACGTGACAATGATCAAACTCTGCCATTGATAATTTCGCGTTATGTTTGCGGTTGTGACCACAAATCGTGGTTTCTCTATTTGCGATGAAGTTTTTATAGACCAAGTATGTTTACGTGTTTTGGATAGCAATGGATATTCATATAAGTCCCAGGAACGAAATGCCAATGGAATAGCTCTATCTTTCTCTAAAAGTTTTAATAGGCTGATTATTTCACGATCTGATACTTTGATGTGTGGAACTCGCCAAACTATTTTATTTATTATAATACCTTCTACAACTTCACCTGTATTTAACTTGATCGCATTAAGATTTGTATTGCTTCGTAATAATACTAACTCATGTTTACAATTAATTATTATTTTTTCATAATCTTCTGGAAATCCTAATATCTTGTTCAATGGTATAGATGCGGAAAACGCTCCACCACTAGTATTGCTTGTTCCGCCAGTTGACCAGCCCCAAACTCGAGCACATTTGGATTCACTTTCATTTAAGGATAGATAAGATTTTATTGTAGTAGTGACACCAGCATTCTTAATTTTATCTATTTCTACTCCATTAAGTTCATATCGTGTGTCTTGAAAAAGAAATAGCACGGGATTATTGCAAAATGTACGTTTGATACCTTTTCTTTTGTGGTGCTGTTATAAACGTTCACCTTTCTCTCGATATATATAAACTACTGAGTGAAGGTAGTACGTACAGGTCTTGTTGATTAATAGGAATACGTATTTCGTCATTCTTGTTAAAACTAGTTACATATGGTTTGTATGAATGATACTCAAAACTTTCAATGCTGTTATCGTATGATGTTTGTTGAGATACGTTTAAAATATTCATTTTATCAAGCCAACTAGCTTAAGAAATTCTTTGTTAGACTTGGTAAGCTTCTTCTTTAGCTGAAGAGGTGTGCCTTTATGAGATCTTCTTTTAAAACTGGCTTGGATACACGAAGTAGACGGGCTTTTATTGAAATTTATCATATTTTTTTTTTCGGAAATGTAAATACAGTTGTACTTCTTCACCTCGTAAATGTATCTCTTTATTCTCAGCGTTCAATAACTTTATATTGATAGCACTTATGGAACTTTGGTTAACAGGAAAATAAATCAAGTTTCAGGTGGTATATTAGGTGCAAATTCAAAATTTATATGGCTTGCTTTCCCGTTGACAAATGAACCACTAACTACATCGCATTCAATCCGCACGATGGTTGTCGATAGAATACTGACAGGATACTTTGAATCAGTACTTATATTACTACTCGTGGTAACTAATGACTTAATATTGTTAAATCTTCCCAAACTTAAATACATTTGTTATCAGTGTAATAATAACGTCGCTGCCTGTGCTGCGTTCAAACGACCGAGTCATACTTTTCGTTACTCTTAATGAACTATATCAAAATGGTAAGGAAATGTGTGAAGTGTGATAAAATAATCTCAGATAAACAATTTCTTAAATGTTTCAACTGTTTAAAGTTTCACCACTTAAACTGTGCAAACGTAACAGAAAAAACATTTAACTCAATGAAAGAGAAGAAAAGCAACAAATGGAAATGCGTAAAGTGCGCACTCTTGCTAAGAGAATGTACAAGCTCACCATTGACACCAGGGGCTGTACCTGTAAACATGATGCACACAATGAATAACTCATCAACGTCAACAGCAAGTTTGGTTAATAATTCTCACTTTCGTCCAAACACTGTTGCACTTTGCACAGAGTCTGAAAATTATCCACATACACCAAATACACCAAAAACATCGCAACAAACTAATGAACAGACATCATCAATATCACCGAAAGTGGGTAAAAATAATACACAAACACCTCAACATTTTTTTGATTTCATTACCAATCGAAACAAAAAAAGAAAAAAACATACCGAGTCTCTGGAGTTGGAGAGCTCTGTCGATGAGGATTGTTCTTGTATAGAGACTAGTAAATTAAATCGCAGCTGCCCTGAAATAAGCCCCAAAAACAGGGAGGAGTTGGGAGAACTAAGAGCTAAAATCACTTACTTAGAAAAGAAGTTGGAAAGTGCGGAAAAAGAAATAGACAATCTATCAATAGAAAACAGTTCTTTAAGAAAACAAATCATAGCCTATGAAAAGAAAACCGATACACTGGCTTATTTATGTCGCTCAACTCCAAAGATAGATAAAAACAAAAAGAAACAAAAAAAGGGAAACAAAACAAAATTAGATTACACACTTCTAAGTCAGGCCGAATGTGGGCAAAGTTTTCAACCAACACCAAGAACCAAAGAAAAAACTGTATTGAATAATGTAACACATGAAGACCATCAAAGCACAATTTTAGATAAAGAAGAGCAGATGAGCGATTTAAATTCTACACTTATGCATGAAAATAAGGATTTTAGGCTTTGCGTAATAAGCAGTAACAACAGGAATAAAGTGATACAAGCTATAGAGAATCTAGATACTGAGAATTTTGAATACTG